CGAAAGCGCCGAAGCCACAAAGCTTAAGCAAACCTTCCAGGTAATTTAGAGGCTGGTTCGGCAATAAATCGATTTATTGATTTTTTCCAGCAAAAAATGTGGGCCGCTTTCGAGAATCCTCACACGTCGTCGGTAGCACTTGTTTTCTATTATGTCACGGGTTTTTTCATTGCCGTATCTGTAATGTGTAATATTATAGAAACCATTCCTTGTTGGTAAGTTGCACAAAACTCTTCTTCCATTATTCCACCAATCACAGCAGGGGAGGGGCGGGGCACGAGTGATAAGCTCCGCCCACATCGTTCTTATAAATGTAGTAAATGTTATAATTACCATGTTTGCAGGTATGTAAACGACATTCCTACCTCCTGTGGAGATGCCTATGAGAAGCAAGTAAGTACTAATTTTACCCGGGAAAACCCTTCCGATCGATATATTGATTTTCTTTCAGTTTTTTGTGTTAGATACTGCATGTGTTATCATATTCACTATAGAATATTTATTACGGTTATATGCAGCGCCAGATAGATGTCGATTTTTAAGGTGGGTGGAGCCCTCATTTATCGATTTATCGTTAATGAAACCAGTATTGATTTTCAGATCAATAATGAGCGTGATTGATGTGGTTGCAATATTACCGTATTATATAGGACTGGGTTTGCAGAATAATAAGGATGTTTCGGGAGCATTTGTCACTTTACGAGTCTTTGTAGGTTTTTATTATTTATTCGGAATCTGCTCCAATTTTTCGATACACGGTCGGCCCCCGGTTACTACACAGGGGACACGCGTGGGTCTATATCAAAGCTGCTTATTGCATGTAGACCAAATGGGGATAACCTACTTCCGGTTGCTCCTATTTCGCCATTATGTTTCAACAACGAAACTGACTAAAAAATCGCCTATTTTTTCCAGCGAGTATTTCGAATATTCAAATTTTCACGGCATTCGCAAGGACTCCGAATACTTGGCTACACGTTAAAGTCTTGTGCTTCGGAACTTGGTTTCTTGGTATTTTCACTAGCTATGGCTATAATCATCTTTGCCACTATTATGTACTACGCTGAGAAGAAAGTTAATGATACGAGGTTGGTGGAGTCATTTTTCATATTGTAGTTCTTAATTATCGTATATTTTGTAGGTTCACCTCAATTCCAGCTGCATTCTGGTATACAATCGTAACGGTGAG